TATAATCCACTGAAAAACTGTAAAATTACTGTGATTCCCAGCTGTAAAAGCCACCAGCATAAATATGTTTGTTATTTTTTGGAATTTCATAGTTCTCAAAGAGACTCCTAAAACATATGATATGATAAAAAGAAAATAATACTTCTCTTAAACTTTTTTGATTATGAATGAAACTGTTGACTAATTCATTACACCTCGGGACTTGTCCCATTTCTAGTTGAAATTGCCTGTATTGTCTAATTAATCAATTATTAATTAATTGATATCAAAATTTGACTATTTTGGTAGTTTTTACCCTTATTTTCGGATGGTCTAGTTAATATTCCATTTCAAAACTACGTTTACCTTCTCCGGTATGAAGGGCTAATTAGATAACTAAGGATGTGGAATATACCAGTTTTAGGGAAATGCGAAGATTAGCACAGGATATGAAAGAGTGGAGGTACGTGTCCAACCAGTCTTAGGACTGACGACCTTATTATGATGATGAACGCTTGGAAACTAAATCTGGTCTATTAGTTTTTTGATTTTGTATTTATGTGTATTTCTTTAAAGAATGTATATTCAAAATGCATTCAGAACAGTATTCTTGATTATTAGATGTATCTGTAAATAATGTGAATATGTACAAATGAAATTTTCCATCATCAGGACCAGCACAGTGTATTAGGTGGTGTCTTGTGAAATCAAACAAATTCAAGAAATGGTTTCTTAAATTTTTAAAAAAAGAGAAAAGAATGTGTGAACCAAATGGTAAACTAGACAAGAAGTGCATATTTCAGGAACACCAGTATTACAATATAAATGTATTATTCAAATATAAACCTAATTTTAACTCACCGTCAGTAGATAGATACTTAGGTGTATGCATATAAAATCTACACATCACTAATTCGAATCTTCTTAATTTAGATTTAAGATTGAAGTATTTGTAAATAAGTTAGTTATATAACAATAAATACAGTTTGTTAAGAAAATCTTGTTTATTTTACTCTTTTGAGTTTTAACATCAATATTTCGTCTCTAAATTCCTACCAACTCAATCAGTGTTATCTATTACATTTACAATCGAAATACTACTTCAAATTGACTTAAATAATAATTAAAATAAGTACAACATGATATTAAAGTAAATAAGAACACTACGCAGAGATAAAAATGGTGAATGCGCCTGTCATATGTATTACAGTATTACCTAAATTGTACATAATTCATCTTAGACATGACTTAATAGAGAAATGTGGTACATAATAACCAGAAAGTAGACCGTAGTTATTTAAATTTAATTTAATTCCTTCTAGAAGCTTACAAAAGCATTGAAATAAGTACTTTTCGTATATATGTCGTTCATAAAAGGTATCACGATTATTATTCTTACAAGAGATTTTAGACACTAGATACTACTCATTGTGAGTTCTTTCAATAAACTGCTGTTTAGGCATAGGGAGACTCAAAATGCTCATTGAATATTGTTATTGTTCACTACAAATAACAAAGTAACTGTCAAAAGTTTATTTGTAATTCCTACAGTTCCATATTTCTACATAACAATTTGTATTTATTCTTATCTTTAAATTCCTTAAGCCATTTCACTTATAATGTTCAAAACTTTTGTAGAATGCATTCTTAAAAGAAATACGTATTTCACGTGTTAAAATAAAAAAATAGACCCAATTCCTCTGCGCGAACTCCCTTCTGCTTTGAATTTATTGACGTTTCAGAACCAACAACTTCCTGACAGGACTCGCCCAAAGTACTTGTGTTTCGAAATTTTTGGTGGTAATTTTCATTTATTCATAAGGAAACGAATGTAGGATGCATGTTTTTCGTCTTGTTCCTGAAGTTTATCCAAAAAGTGCACCTACTCATTAGACTACAAAGAATATAAAGCACATTTTTCCATTCTTTCACGCATTTTATAAATTAATAGTATTTAGAAACCCTTTTGAAGCATGGAGTTCATAGCAGCAGTTTTTAGCATGTTTGAGAGTTTTTTTAGAATAGAGAGGAACCAAATCTTATTTTCTGTTGTTAAATAAAAGCTTTAAGCTTTTTAATGATGCAACTACTAGCGTTATTTTGGAATAAATATTTGGAAATGTCTAGCAACAAAAGAAAATTTTATTTTGATTGCTGGCAGACGTCTTTGAAACTAGGAACCTAATAAAAAATGTTGTAAATAATGTCCATCAACAAATTTTCTTATTATTTCTATAATCCCTTGTACAATAACAATATGCCATTCACAACCAGCAAACACGAATGTAAAATAAACTTTTCTAATACAATAAATGTCTTTACAGCATTAAAATAAATACTTTTGTTCACTAAATTTTAGTAAGGTGAAGTCAACCAAGAAGAGATTGGTGTTCGATTCAGATATCAATAAGTAGGTAGACGAGAAACACGAAATTTAAGTGATCTGATAAAAAACAAGTTCATTTTTCCAAAAATTTGTAATGGTGTAGCATTTCTAATGATGCGCAAATGCGGCAAGGCGTTATATACCCCTTTCTTGCCCTAGGAGGCAACCTCACGGGGCCCACAAGGAGTAGTGGGCTACCCACTTAGGGACCCTCCCTGTACCCCCTCAAAATTTTACTCGGGGCGTAATAATATGAGTATGTATTAATTCATTTGTAAAGATAATTTGACTCTGCAAACATTGTAAACATAAATTCTGTGTCTTGTCATGAGAGACAGTAATTAACGCGCAACTTCAGCATTGTGAGGTAGTAATGGCTTATATTAAATATAGTTTTGTGTGTAACCACTATCGCGGCCTGCTGCTTGCTTTGCCAAACCAAACACGAAGTTATGCAAGATCGTCGCATCAAAAATAACCTCAGTTAGTAGATGCCCAACAATAGCAACTCAAAAATAACCCAGTGAACCACGGAGACCCATCTCGACAACTTCGGGAACGCGCGCAATTAGAAAAAAAAAAAGGTTTAATAATATGTGAACCCATCAACGTTCGGTTCGGTCGTTCACCTGTTCGAGTCTGGGGTGATAACGCAAGTCTATGTGTGTATGTGAAAGCAGATTTATGATGATAAAAAAGAATTGAAAAATGGTTACGTGTGCTTGATCACTAGTGCGCATGATTTGCGCCAATAGTCGGGTTCATACGACCCTCGTGTGTGACGCACTGTAAATCAGTCGGTGGTGCCAATAATAACTGGCCAAGTTTAGGGCATTTTATGGAGAATAAAATTTATAGTACATACAATTAATGCCGTGTAATAGGAAAAATAGTCATGGTGTATTGAAATGTTTTGAAACAGAAAATCTATTTTCGTCTGTATTTTTTTTGGTAGTAGTAGCCAAAAATGTTTAGTAGATTACGATTTTTTTGCTTTGTTTATTTCTTAATAAATGCAACAATTGAAACAAGGAGCCACCCATTACATTTTAAATTACTTTAGGTCCATATAACAATTATATTACTCAGTAAGTGATAGTAGCATTATCTATTTGATCTATTGATTGCTCTTTTGTATTAAATTAAAAGGAAAAAACATCTTCCTGAATTAGAATAGTTACGAATATTAGTTCCTGGAGACATTGCAGTTTCCATCGAAATTCACAAAAATTTACTGTAATAAATGGGAAAAATCCACAAGAGATTTTATTGATCTGATTTCTAGTGCAATTAGTCAGTATGAATGAATCATTTTGAATTAAACTGGAATTATAAATCGGCCTACAAGTAATTTAATCATTTTATCTTGCACGTAAATATTCTAAGACGAAATATCAAAAATTTGCTTTCACTGCAGCTCATGTATCAAAAGTATTCGTTATTTGGTTCCTTATTTGAATATTATTTCTGTAAAAAGTATGGATCTAGAAACGGCAACAAGAACTAAGAAACGAAAACTTAGAAAGCGTTCAGACACTACCAAAGATGGTAAATATAGGTCTGTGTCGGAAGGTACGAGACGTACAGAACAAAGACACAACGTTTCTAGAAGATCGTCATCGTCGTCTTCAGCGGTGTCGCTGGACGTTCGTTGCGCTTGTCAATATTACCAATGCGACTCCCTATTGCCCGAGAGGGTTAATCCCGTAGGCACTCGACCTAGTAGCAGAACAAGCAATAATCCCTTTTTGTTGCGGTAAGAATTTGCAAAGGCAAATAGTTGCAATCATCCAAACAGTTCCTCAAACTTCATCATCATAAGGTCGTCAGTCAGTAAGAATGGTTGTGCACGCACCTCCACTCTACTCTTTCCTATCCTGAACTAATCTTCGCATTTCCCTAAAACTAGGAAAACCCATATCCTTAACTATTTGCGAACAGTAATCTAATCTAGGGCCACCTCTAACCCTCCTAACTCCCGTTTCTGCTTCCAATATGTCTCTGACTAGACCTTCACTGCCTGAGAAGGTGTCCTACCAACCTATCTCGTCTATTTTTTATTGACTTCTATAGAGTCCTCTGTTCTCCTATTCTTTCCAATACTTCTTCATTTCTAACCTTTTCCACCCACGATATCCTCGTAATCCGCCTATAACACCACATTTCGAACGCTTCTAACCTTTTCTTTTCCGCCGCGCCCACTGTCCATGTTTCGCACCCGTACAGCGCCGTGCTCCAAACATACACCTTTAACAATCTTTTTCGAAGTTTTAAATCAACCGTACACGAGCATAGAAGTTACTTCTTTTTATTGAAGGCGACTCGACCCTGCGCTATCCTCTGCTTTCAATCCCGATTGCTCCTTCCGTCTTGACTTATCTGACTTCCTAGATACCTAAAATACCAAGGTACCAAATTTAACAGTTGAAAATGATGGTCGTTATGCGAGAAGAGGGGTTAAGTTCTTCATCACTAATTTTCTAATTTAGATCGTATTTGATTTCATCAGCAATCCATAGGCAGTCTCGATAAAAAAACCGACTAAGCCGAAGACACTGAAGGGATCAAAATCGCGATCGACAAATTACTGACCAAAAACTTAATCCTTTATCTCTGGAACATCACTATCACCTTACCTTAACAATGAAAGAGTCAATTACTATCATTTCTTTGAAAACAGTGACGTGATACATTTGAGCAGCTTTAAATATGTATTTTGTCAAGAACAAATTATTGTACTTACGAAACGGTCGATTTGAAACTAAAAATATCTGAAATGTTTTAACAGTAGGTACGCTTATTCAAAGACTCAAACGCAGCAAATTCTGTATTTTCTTTGAGCAGCTGGACCAATTTCACTGAAGCAGAACTCATATTCGAATATGAAACAATTTTAAACTAAAAAAAAATAATAACCCAGATACGTGACGTTATGTGTTAATTTCTTTTATTTAAACACGTCAAGGAGACCCTGACTATTTATAAAAGATGATTCGAATCGGGGGACTTGGCAAAACGTTTCTTCTTAAGTTCAGTATCCTACGAATCCTGTGGCGTTAGGTGCAAGTACATACGATTCGATTATTTTACTGATAGAAGTAGGTAACAGTGCTTGAAGCAATTTTTATTACTAATTGTACGCAACTAACTTTGAAGTAAAAGCTTTCGAAAAGTAAAAAAAGAAATTAAAAATTAGAGCATGTTGATCGAAGCAGTTGTTTAACGTAAATCTATGTCAAAAGTTATTTGGGTTAAGGTGAGGATATTAGTAGGAAATAAATCTTATTGAATTCAAAGGTATTTATTGAAATCGTTCNAAATCGGAATCCAAAGAAAAAATAAAAGAGAAACCGAAAGAAGAAAAGAAGGAAGACGATAAAGAAGTAGCCCAACCAAAAACTAAGGATAACTTAAAAAAATCGAAAAAAGAAGAACCAAAATATATTTACATTCCTTTAAAGCCACCAGAAGGAGAAACGGATGAATTCTCTAAATTCGCTGACGAACCTCCCACAGAATCAAATGTTTCAAATAAGGAACTTAAACGGGAAGATACTGAAACCTCGGTAGAAACACCAACGAATGACGTTCAAATTATTATTCTAACACCTCCTTCTGATGATGAAATATTAGACAGTAATCTTCCGGAGACTCCATCCGAAACCGACCAGAAATTCTTTGACAATATGCAAATAGATAACTTAAAACATTTGGCAAAGAAGGTTGTAGATGAGGTGTATCCAAACTCCCACGAATTACAAACGGTACAAGAAGAAAAGACTGGATCGGACGAAAATTTAACCAAAAATGGAGTAATAGAAGAAACTAATAAGAAGGAAGACGATAGTATTAAGACAGAACAAAAAATTGAAGAAGAACCAACCAAGACAACTCCAGAAGAAAGTAAAGTACCTCCAAAAGAAATTGATGGGGCCTCTAAAGAGGAAAGGGTTGTTCTTCAAGAACGAATATTAGTGGACGAAGAAGATGGTTTAAAATTAAGTGAAGTAGCAGTCGCCATGATAAACGAAGAATTGGCTAAAGAATCGCTACCACAGACTCCTTCGGACAAGGTCAAAGAAACACCAGCAGCTGTTGAAGATGTGGTGAAGATAAAGAAGAAAGTTTTATTCAAAAATAAGAAGAAAACTGACGATGGAGAATACGAATACATTACTATTCCGGACTCACAAAGAAGTAGCTACGCCGAAGATAAACCAGAAGAATCGGATACATGCCAGATTAAAGAAGACGTAGAATTGATTAAAGATAAACATGAAGAAGGATCCCCCAATGTAGACGGGAAAAAGTGGTCCGAAATAGAGTAAGTTTTACCTCTAGATGAGTTTGACCCCTCAAACGATTTATGTGTGATGCTTGCTTAGCATTTTTAGGTAGCTTTTCATACATTCAAACATTCACGGAATTCATTTAGGGCATGATTCTTCCTCCACTTTGTTTTTATATGTCAGATTTTTTCGTACAGTTGCAAAAATTAAAAAATTAACAACCAGTAATCTTTACTTGTGTTTGGAATATTTAGAAATATAAACTTTAGATACATAAAATGGACGGTACCTAAATGACTCATCACGTGCTACCAAGAACACAGTATTATTACGTAATGTCCTACATGTTACAATAGTCATCGTTCAAAAATAATGTATTTTGATTGTTATCGTTATCATCATATGGAGTACCTCTCAATTTGTTAAGATTGCTGCACGTTACATAGGGATGTTTTAGACTTCAGTTGCTTCAAGTTCCATTCTATACCAACCATCCTACACAATTTATTTATACCTACCTGGATGAAGTAGTTATAAAAAGATTTTATTGATTGAGTATATGACAGCATCCAACTTCCTAATAAACAAACGGAACGTCCCATAGGAGAGTCCTTATATTCCTTAAACTTTTCGTTTTCTAAAAATTTAAAGAAGAAAGGCTAAATATTAGGATTTTGTCATAAAAATATGTATACCATGCGATATAGTAGTGGGTAGGTACTTTAAAAGAGGAAATGAAACAAATAAAATTAGTTAAGTTAAGACATCTCAATAGCAGCGAGAAGGTCGATTAGTCACGGGAGAACAATAAGAATTTAAATGTCTACGTTTCAACTATTATGTAATTTATTTTACGTCTGTCGAACCTGTTGCCAAAGCATTCGATCAGCAGTTAAGAATATAGGATTGTAAAAAGTTTGCACCATTTCTTCTTTAACTTTGACACAAGTTACTTTTTTAAAAATTGGGAATGAACCAGCTCATAATTTGTACATTTTTAAATTAAGTTTTCATAAACTTGACAATTAACAATCAACCTAAAGGTATTATGGCAATAATTTGTTTCTGAAACCGTAATAATTGCTGTCGTTATAAATTATGCTAAAAATTTCAAGTGTTCACACTGAAACTGATTATCATAATTAAAAAGTTAAAAGATAATTATGTAGGTCTAATAATTAGGTATAAATATGGATAATCTTGATTTCGTCTTTTAAATTTCGAGGAAAACGTACCTTTGCTAATGAACTTTTAATAAATATATGTTTTTAGTTTTACCAAAAATCAATTTTTATAATCCACTGAAAAACTGTAAAATTACCTACTGTGATTCCTAGCTGTAAAAGCCACCAGCATAAATATTTTTGTTATTTTTGGAATTTCATAGTTCTCAAAG